CACACTGCTGACTAACCAGGTCTTCACCAATTCTATGAACTTTTTGAAACTCCCTCGTACATGCAGAGATAGAGCAAATGTGGCAAAATGTTAGTAATTGGTGAGCCCAGGTGAAAGATTTTTACATTGTGTAGTCATTTCATTTTTTCTGGAAGGATGAAGGTTTCCAAAATTAATATTGAAGAGGTAGGTAGGTGTGTACATGTGGAGGTGGAAAGAAGTGGTAAAATTCCAAACTTTGGAATTCTAAAAAGGACAATTTTAGAACAGTTAAGTCAGGTATTTGTGACACAGTGGTCTGAAAACAGGAAAGTCAGTGTACTGCTGCATACTGAAAGCCTTTTCCCCCCACTTTTAGACTTCTTTGAATTCTTTTGTGCTTTTACTTTCTTCCTGAAGTATTGGAATCTCCTTTGTGATGTGTGGTCCTTCCTTTGTTGGCCAGAGGCTCCAATATTGGTGTTTTTGTTTTTGTTTTTTTAATTGCATGTGCATTGACAAAATTAGTGGGGAAATATTGAATTGCAAATTGAATGCTCAGCAGTATGATTAACTTCTTGAAATGCTGCAAGTGTTTTTAAATTACACTAGTGAGTTTTAAATGTTTCTGCAGCTAAACTTGAAATAATTCTACATAGCCTTTCCTCACTCCAAAGTAATTTGAGGTTATAGGATTAGCTCTTCTTGTCAGGTGACAGGTGTTGCTGCTGTCTTCGAACCTCTTCTCATTGCTTGTTTAAGGTTGCTGTAGTGTTGAGGTAGATAATGACTGAAAAATGCTGCTGGCATATACTCCAGTCTCCTACAAGGTAGCTAGGCTGTAAAAGACTCTGCAAGAGTCAATATATGCATTGACCAAAGTTTTCAAATTAATGTTACTATTGTCTATGTGAGACAGTTTTGTTTATTCATTTGTTCAACATTTAATCACTGCTCCAGAAATTAGGAATATAAAGATATTGGTAGCAGCCCTCAGGAGTATATTGTATATTGGAGCTGATAACTGCAGCAACAAAAAAGTACAGTAAATTATAGTAGGTACCAGTTAGAATTCAGTAACTGGAGAAAGGATAGAACCCAGGTTTCAGAATCAGAGGACTGGCATTTGAATTCGACCTCATCACATGGATCAAATGACATAATATATCTGAAAATACTTATTAAACTGTAAAATGATATATAGTTTTATTATGGTCTGCTTTTATTTTTAAGCTCAGCAGTTTAGAAAAAAGTGTATAAAATGAACAAAACTGGCTATTTTTTAATGTTATTGTTGCTGTATTTTCTTTGTACAATCTTGTTTTGAAAAACATTCAGTCTTCTTTTTTTGAGAAATTCTATTTTCCAAGAAAATAGAAGTAGCTAGAAGAATACTTTTTATTGTTGTTTTTTAAAGTTTTTATTGTGAATTGAATGATAGTTTACATGGGAGAATATCAGTTTTACATTAAAAGAATACTTTTTAAGATTCAACCACTTGGTTTTATCTGTGCCTATATATTGCTTCGTTTCTCATGTTAATACAAATGAACTGTCCTTGTTCAAAATCTACTAAGATCAACTTATCCATTTATCCATTAGATCCCATACTCCTATTTGTTGTTGTTGTTAGGTGCCGTCTGAAGGATATTTTATTTATGGAGTGTTCGCTGCCTGTTAGATTTACAAGCATATAGTGTGCCTTTTCCCCCCGGTCCCTCTGTAAAAAGAACTCTTTGGATCCCACTTTACACTCCAGCTACCATTCCATTTATTTTTATTTCTTTATAATATTGCTCAAAATAATAGTCTATACTTGCTACTTCCAGTTCTTCTCTTTACATTGTCTTTTGAATCCACTAAAATGGAGATTTGCCTTTATCATTTCACTGAAACTAATCTTACTGATCTTGCTAGTGTCCTGGTGTGGCACTGTAGGATAAGCACTGCCTGCTAACTGCAGGGT